GATTCTTTATTTGTACCTATAAATGACACTTTTAATTTCTTTATTATTTTCATTATTACTGATATGACGTACCTATACCAAATAAATGGGAAACAAATGTACATTTGGTTTTATACACATATAATGCACATAGATTTGATTGTGTATATCTGAAAATTGGCTAATTTTGATTTCAGTAATTGGATCTAAAATGAACAAATAAGAGAATTCACTTGCTAAAAGTGGTGCCCAAGTAATATGCTGTACCTTAAATTATGCCATTTTATTACTGAGCATTTCTTATCAATTTTTTCTGCTATGTTACTTTGCTTTTGTATCACTGCTGGTGTCTCAGACCATTCTGTTTGCCTCTATCTTATTGACAGCCACACCAGGGTATGCGTCCTTCTGAATTTATACTTTAGAAGTAAAATTGAATAGCTTTGTTGAGCTTCTAAAATTGTACCTCTGAAATGGTAGAGAATATGAAAATCAGTCATATAAAGAATATCATCTGGAGATACTGGATCTGAAGAAGAGAATTCTCAGGGGAGGAGTGAGAGCTTCATCAAACAATCGATGTGGCATCGTGCAGAGGCTGATTTATTTGTTGGAGATCCAGTTGGTAGAACCAAGTAGATTTGGGCCTAATGATTTAAAGGATTTCTATTTCTCATATAATGGTCAGGCAAGAGTGGTAGAAAGAGTAGAGAATTGTAGTCAGCACTACTAAATTAAATTTGAGTCCTATATTAGAATTTTAGCTTAAATATCTTTACTATGAAAGTAATTATTACTGCATTGTTTTGATTTGCATTTCTCTAATAATTAGTGATACTGAGTGACTGTTGGCCATGTGTTTGTCTTCTTTGAAGAAATATCTATTTATGTCTTTTGTCCATATTTTGATTGAGTTTTTTGGTTTTTTGATAATGAGCTGTATGAGCTGTCTATATATTCTGGTTTAAGTCTTTGTTGGTTGCATCATCTGAAAATATTTTCCCCCAGTTCTTAAGTTACTTCTCTGTTTTGTTTATGGTTTCCTTTGCTGAGTGTGCAAAATCTTACAAGTTTTATTGGGTCTCACTGTGTTTTTTTGCTTTTATTTCTTTTGCCCTGGCAGACTAATCTAGGAAAATATTGCTGTGATTTATGTCACAGAATATTTTGCCTAAAAGCATTAGTTCTGGTTAGATTTTTTTTTTCATCTCTAAAATCTAAGAGACAAACAGTGTATAACAAACAAGAGAGGAAAAGAGGAATAAAATAAACTCCTAATAAAACCAAATTAAGACAAAAAAGGAGAGAGCAAAAATGTAGGATATGTAGAAAAAATCAGATTATAGTTAGAAACCAAAATATATTAATAATTACATTATATATTAATGGACTAAATATTCCAACTAAAAGACAAGTATTGTAAAGCTAGGTATTAAAATACTATTTAACACTTATCAGAGATATACATTATATAAAGGATGCTGAAAGTAAATGAGTGAACAAAAAAGCCATGCAAATGGTCCAGAGAAAGCTGGTGTGGCCACACTAATACCAAAGAAATTAGATAAGATTTAGATATATTTCTTAAGATAAGAAATATTACTTTAGGTTAAAAATGGACATTTCATAAAAATGAAGTGGTCTGTTTAGCAGGAAGATATAAAAATTCTGAATTTATATGCATCTACTAGAATAGCTTCTAAATACATCTAATAAATAGCAAAAATTGACCAGAGAAATAGAAAAATCCACAGACTGGGAGATTTTAGCATATGACTGATAGAACAAGCAGTCAAAAACCTAATAATGTTGAAGAAAAACAATTTGACCTAAATGAAATAATATGAATATTGCACACAGCAACTACAGAATTCAGGGGATATTGTTCAATTAATAAGATTGTTGCCATGTATGAGAGTGATGGAAAGATTGTTGATTGTTACACTTAAGTGATGAAGATGATAATACAGAGAAAATTTAAAAGTGCATTGTTTCCATAGCCATTACGTTATATATGGCCAAAAACTATTTGAGTTCTTCCAGTATTCAAAAACTATTATCCAGTTTAGCAAAGCAGTTATTCAAATTACTGTTAAATGAAGTTCCAACAAATGTCACCGTTGTTTCAGTTTCATCTTAATAAATGTCAACCAACATTCATGGTGAAGTTACACTTGTTTATCTTCAACGTAAACTATTTCTTTGCTGAATTGGATAATAACCAAGCATTTATTTGAAATCTAATTGTTTCAAAATATAGTTGAAAATATGTGAGTTCAGCAAAAATCAACAAAAACAAACCATGAGAATCGGTTAGATATCTGGAACTAGCAATAAAGAGTATTGCATACTTTATTATTATAATAATTCTAAGTTAGGCTACGCATCTATCACATCAGTAAAATTTATAACTTTTGTATGTATATGTGTGCATACAACTCTTCTGATAATTGGTTGTTAGCATACCGCTGCATTGTTGTTCAGTCGTTCAGTCACGTCCAGCTCTGCAACCTGATGGACTGCAGCACGCCAGGCTTCCCTGTCCTTCACCATCTCCCGGAATTTGCTCAAACTTATATCCATTGAGTCCGTGATGCCATCCAGCCACCTCGTCCTCTGTCGTGCCTTTCTCCTCCTGCCTTCGATCTTTCCCAGCATCAGGGTCTTTTCTAATGAGTCAGTTCTTCACATCAGGTGGCCAAAGTATTGGAGCTTCAGCTTCAGAATCAGTCCTTCCAGTGAATATTCAGGACTGATTTCCTTTAGGATGGACTGATATGATCTCCTTGCAGTTCAAGAGACTCTCAAGAATCTTCTCCATACCATTGCATATAATGTCCTATTTGCATAAACTTCATGTAAAACTCTGGCTGCCTCAAATCAGATAATATCCAAGCAACAAGAGAACTTAAAGGCCAGTCACTCCAGCCTCCTCATTTTACTACTGTGAAAATCCAGGCCATTAGAGAATCCAGGCTCATTCAGCACTTCCCAGCTCTTTAGAGAAAACAAACCTGCAAAGTAGGAGCATGGTATCTGAAGAAAGGCCTAGACCTCACACACTGATCCCCCAAATGCTAAAACAGTTACCGACTAAAAGGCCAGCATTCTAACAGTGGGAGAGTGTAACTTTTTCTACAAATTATTAACCGAGAGAAAAGGAGGAAAAATAATGTATCTATAAGTTTTGTGATGTTTTGTTCTAGCTCAGAACCAATAAGTTACAATTCTAGCTCATTTTATACTACCTTGCTTTTACTTCTACCCAAAGCTGAAAAAAGTTTAATTTACAGCCTGTTTAAAAGCAATAAATATTACATAGCTATTGTAATTCCATAAAAAAACATTTTGGGGACTTCTCTAGTGGCCCCATGGTTAGGAATCCACCTGCCGATGCAGGGGACACAGGTTTGATCCCTGGTGTGGGAATAACCCACATGCCGCAGCGCAGCTAAGCGCACGCACCACAACCACTGAAGCCTGATCACTCCGGAGTCCATGTGCCATAACTACTGAGCCCATCTGCCACAACTACTGAAGCCCTGCACCCTCGGGCCCACACTCCACAACAAGAGAAGCCACTACAGGGAGAAGCCCGCACACCGCAGCTAGAGTGTAGCCTCCACTCATTGCAACTAAAGAAAGCCCTCATGCAACAACAAAGACCCAACACAGCCTAAATAAATAATTTTTTTAAAACATGTAAAGAAAAAAAAAGAACATTTTAAGAACACAGTTCTCTGAATACCTACCAGAAACATATAAACATACCATCTGAAATAGTCAAGATTTTTGGTGAAGAAAAGCAACTTGCCTAAACTCTTAAGGACTTAAAGAGAGTATAAGAAGAACAGTTCATGGAGAAATTAAAGGAGACATCATGACTCCCCTGACTTTTTAACTGGAGTTTAACATATATGATCTACACTACATTTTAACAAGATTCGGGGAAGATTAAAAAGTGCAAGTGTTGTAGGTAGAATAGCTGAGAGAGTATATATAGGTCCACAGTGAAAGAAGGGAAAGATTAAGTTTTCATCCTTATCTTGGCTGCTGGAGGCCTCAGCACTCAGTCATGTCCGATTCTTTGCGACCCCATGGACTGTAGCCCGCCAGACTCCTCTGTCCATGGGGAATCTCCAGGCAAGAATACTGGAATGGGTTGCCATGCCCTCCCCCAGGGGATCTTCCCAACCCAGGGATGGAACCCAGGTCTCCTGAATTGCAGACAGATTCTTCACCCTCTGAGCCCTCCCTAATAACATTGTTGTGACATCCAGGGGTTAATACGTATCATGAACTCTTAGAATGGAGCCTGATGTATTATAAGCACTCAACAGGTGTTAGCTATTAGCACTATATTTTCTATAGGAATAGTAACAAAAGGAATGACTTGCAAACCAAAGTGAATTGAAGTCCAAAGTGGGACTTAAAATATTCTATTGACAATCACACACATTTTATTTTAGAAACTAAAATCTCTTTATTGGTCAAACATCAGCAATGATTCAAACTTAACACCTCTCCTCTTGCACATTTAATCACACACCACCACTCTAGAAAATCCACATACATGAACAGTGTTTAAAAAGTGAAATGGGAAGAGAGAGAGAGCAGCCTAGCATCTGGGGATGTTCATACAATGAGATCCAACAGATCCAAGTTAAATGCTAGCAAACACTATTGAAAAATATGACATGAGCTATTTACTACATCTAGTATAACATAATGGTATTATTCTGAACAGCTCACCACATTTCCAATCATAAATATCCTTAGAAAGTTTAGTGTGTATTCTCAAATAAGTGTATTCCTTCTGTTAGGTCTTGCTGAGACTCTGTATGTGTGTATATGTGTGTGTGTGTGTGTGTGTGTGTGTGTGTGTGTGTATGTGTGTATAGTGTAATATATGTACATTTGCAATACTGTACCATTTAGAATAAAGCATAAAGTCAAGCTATATAATAATTTGTTATTGATCTTTAATAAAAATATTAAAATATACTTGTCTTTTTATTTAGGAATAGAAAAGCTTGCACAGAAAGGGAAATCATTGTCCCCTTTAGCAAGTATAACTGGAATATCACTCTTTTTGATTATATCCATGTGTCTTCTTCTCTTATGGAAAAAATTTCAACCCTACAAAGGTAGGTTAAAATTTTAAAAATATATACGAATGGTTTATATGTATACTAAAAAGTATCTTACTATGTTTTTTTTCCTTCTGGTTTTTAGTTATAAAACAAAAGCTAGAAGGCAGGTAATGTATATGTTTCTATGAAAATAATTTTTCTCTGGAATGCTTTTTCCTCAATGATTAAGACTGACAGAAACACCAATTTGTCTTTTCAGGCCAGAAACAGAATACAGGAAAGCACGAACATTTTCAGGTAATGGCCAGGCTGAGAGGGGCTATGTATTATCATTATTAATATATATTGTTAATATTAGCTATTCTATATAATGTACTGTTGATATAACAGAATTCATGAGATAATGCTAACCATCCTCTTCCAGGGTGACTGCCCTCACTTCACGAAGTGCTATCCCTTGTATTAGTTTTGTGTAGGTCACATAGATCTGTAAGATAAGCCCCAAAAGACACTTTCAACACCATTTTACAGGCAAGAGAACTAAGGCTCAGAGAGACTATCATTCGCCCACCATCACTGACCCATACTCCATGATCCTCTTACAATTTTGGAACTGCCCAAGTGTTCCCTCGCTGTGTCAGTCTGTAAAGCAGACACAGTGCTGACAGCTCCTGTCCAGGGAGAAGAGGAAAGGGAGGTCCCCCAGGTTGCTGCTTCTCCGACCCTAGGGGTGCCCCTCACTGCCATCACTTCTGACTCCCGCCTGAGTTGTTAACCGTGGGGCTTTTGCTCAGGCCCTAGAATCATAGGAGCTGGATTTCTGTCCCGTACGTTCCTCTTCCCCCCAGTGTCACCTTGGGGAAATTCTTTTTCCTGACCTCCACTCATCTCTACAGTCACACTCATAACGTCCCCTTAGGGTTGCTCTGAGAATTAAATCCGGTGATATAGGCACCTAACACAATGCCTGGATTCTTAGTAAACATGGGTCTTCTTCCCCTTGTCTAGTGCTTTCTCATAAATAATAAAGGGTTGGAGTTCTGAAAGCTCCCAGAGACTATCTGGAAGAGCCACCCTACATTTTACAGATGATAGTTTAGGTGATATTGGACTTGTGTATTTTATTTTGTATGCGTAGGCAGCCATGAAGTGAAGTGCAAGTTGATCAGTCATGTTCAACTCTTTGCAACCCTATGGTCTATACAGTCTGTGGAATTCTCCTGGCCAGAATACTAGAGTGGATACCCTTTCCCTTCTCCAGGGGGTCTTCCAACCCAGGGATCAAACCCAGGTCTCTCACATTACAGGTGGATTCTTTACCAGCTGAGCCACAAGGGAAGCTCTTAGTCACTTATTTTTTTATTAGTCCTGGTGGACTCTGTTAGATCTAGCAGGACATAGCAATATTATGGGTGGATTAAGAGCTGCTGCGATTGACAGATTGAGGCCTTGGTGGCCACAAGTCTCTGGTAACTGAAAGTTACAAAGGGCAAGGCTGCCCACATGTGTTTATTTGAATATATATGATACACCAGTGTTCCTACATCAGAATTTAAGGATAATTGTCCCAATTCAGTTTCAGTTCTGAGCTTCAAAAAGAGTGATTTCCAGTACTACTTAGTGGTTGCTACTGCTGCTAAGTCGCTTCAGTCGTGTCCAACTCTGTGCGACCCCATAGACGGCAGCCCACCAGGCTCCCCCATCCCTGGGATTCTCTAAGCAAGAACACTGGAGTGGGTTGCCATTTCCTTCTTCAGTGCATGAAAGTGAAAAGTGAAAGTGAAGTCGCTCAGTCATGTCCGACTCTTAGCGACCCCATGGACTGCAGCCCACCAGGCTCCTCCGTCCATGGGGTTTTCCAGGCAAGAGCACTGGAGTGGGGTGCCATTGCCTTCTCCGCACTTAGTGGCAGCATGACTATAGAGGATTGTCGTTGTTCAGTCGCTCAGGTGTGTCCAACTCTTTGCGACCCCATGGACTGCAGCACGCGAGGCTTCCCTGTCCTTCACCATCTCCCAGAGTTCGCTCAACTTCATGTCCATTGAGTCAATGGGAAATGTTAAATTGGAGTAAACCATACCACTGGAAGTAAACCATAAAGATCACTTTAAAAAGGTTTCTTTAAAAAAAAAAAGTATAACAATCACAGTACAAGGCATTTGGTTTGTAAGGAGTATTTGTTTTCCATTTCAGGCCACGAGGATGCGCTGGATGATTTTGGAATATACGAATTTGTTGCTTTCCCAGAAGCTTCTGGTGTTGCCAGGGTTGGTTTTCTAGTGGCTGCTTATCCTAGAAGTAGCATTCTGCTTCAGCAGAGGTGTAAGCAGCATTCCTTTAAACCTGGGGGCACTGCAATCCAATGACTGCACCACCCTCAGCCATATTGACTCACTCTATAATGAATGGCGGTGCCGGATCTGGGGAGCTAAAGTGTCTTTCTAAGCCTCTATCAAAAAGGCTAACACAAATAAGGAAATTACACGAATTAATAATCATTCTTTACTTGGTAAGCTCAGTGGAGAGAGAATTAACTCGGTTGAAGGTCAAAAGAATTGAATAAAAAAGGGACGGAGAGACCCTGGTTTAAAATCATTCTACATCACTTTGATGACTGTGGACTGTCTCTTCACTGACTGTCTCTGTCATTCAGCTTCCCCTTTAATTCCCCCTCATATCTCCTGAGGACATTGCAGAGACAATTGATTATACAGGTACTTTATGCTCTTCAGAAGAAAGGTAGTGTAGAAACCCAAAATATGCAGGTATGTATTTTAATTTTTTCTGAAGGTGCAAGAGAACTTTTATACAGTTAAAGTTTTTTTTTTCTTTTCCAGTCTGCACAGACAAGGTCTTTGAAGCAATCAATTTTGTTTAAGAGACAAATAGAATGTTTCTCTGAGCTAATCAGCCCATTAACATTTTTATAGATTTATGTACAACTGATCTTTCCTGTTTCCTTATTCCTCTGTGATAGTTCACCTAAGAAAGGGGCCCCTGCAATGAACTACTTGCCTCTGGGCATTTTCATTTCCATTTTTTAAAACTATTTGCCATTTAGGATTGGTTGTCTCACTTGTTCAGAGAATTCTAAGGTTCTGAGGTTCATCCAGCAAGTTACCTGGCCACAGGCTTTATTTCTCAAATGCCAGTGAGTAATGGAGGGGGAATGATGGAACTTCATCCTCTTGTGGGTGAGTCATAGCACCAGTGTCCACGTCATCACAGGTAAAGGGCAAAACTGCATTGCAAAATCTTTGCAATGTCCTGTTCAGTCTCAGGCAGGATAGGCTCACTGTTCACTTCTACAACCAAAAAGACAAAAACAAATAATTTGGTGGATCAGTTATTTCAGAGACAGCTCCTCATCATGACAGCAAGCACCCCTCTCAGGCATGTCTTTCAAATGGAAAAGCAGGAAACTGAAGCCTGATAAGCCCTGGAAATGAATTTTGAAGTCAGATTTTATTCCTAGGAATGCATTGGAAAGGGGTGAGTTCTATGTAAGAAATTTTAAATTTATACTTGCAATTAACCAGTACGCAGTTTTAAAATTGTATTGAGAGGACCTCTGTTTGCTCAAAATGCTACAGTTCTAAAGAACCTAAGGCCAAGAAATGAATGCTTGATTACATACCAGAAAAGTGAAAGTGTTAGCCACCTAGTCATGTCCAACTCTTTGTGACCTTACGGACTGTGGCCTGCCAGGCTCCTCTGTCCATGGGATTCTCCAGGCAGGAATACTGGAGTGGGTAACCATTCCCTCCTCCAGGGGATCTTCCCAAGCCAGGGATCAAACCCAGGTCTCCTGCATTGCAAGCAGATTTTTTACCATCTGAGCCACCAGGGAATCTGTCATAAGTGGAATAGCTCGATTTGGAACCATACCCATCTTCAGAGATGAAAACTCCTGAGGAATCAGCTGAGGTCTTTCATTGGCAGTTCCAGGTGCTTTGGGAAGAAGTGAGAAAACAACACGAACAGCCCAAGGAGGAAGAGGAAAAGGATCCACGTTAGAAGCAGCCAGAATTGTATGAAGATTAGCAGTGAGTGCAGTGGCTTTGAGAAAGGAATAATAATAACATGACCAAGATCTCAAAATTGAAGTTAAGAAGGGGAATGAATTACTAACTTTATGAGTTTTCAAAAATCGGAATCCATCTTTTAGTTTCTCGTGATATGTGAACAGATGAATGCTCCTCTGTCTACTTGCTATACTTTTCTTTGTCCATTTAGCACTTCTTTTTGGGAATTGTACAGAAAGCCATGGCATAGAATGAACAAATTTATTACTTGCTAACAGCTCTAGTATTAGGTTAGGTGAGTAAGTATAGATTGCTTTTTAAAAAAAAAATTTTAAAGACTTTTTTTGATGTGGACCATTTTTCAAGTGTTTATTAAATTTGTTACAAATTGCTTCTGTTTTATGTTTCGGATTTTTGGCCACGAGGCATGTGGGATCTTAGCCCCTGACCAGGAATAGGACCTGCACCCACTGTATTGGTAGGCAAAGCCTTAACCACCAGACCAGCAGAGAAGCCTGTAGATTGCTTTTATCATTGCCCCTGAATACCTCTATACCAAAGAAAATCAAGAGTTGATCTTAAGTCCAGACTCTGAACCAAAGTTCCCTTGACACAAAAATGATGGGATCAATCAAATCACATAGCCTAGGACTGTTGTGAAAGCTTTAACAAGTAGAATGGAAATAGGAAGTTTCCAGAAAAACCTGAAGCTAAGATGTTCCAAAGTGATCTGGCAAGTCAAATTGGGATGAAATAAAGAACTCTTCAGATGATCTATATAGTGCAAAGAGTCCTCTACGGATAAGACTATATAAATACAAAGGACTGAAAGTGGCCACAAGTACAATGAACATAGGATGAGTTGGGATGAGGAGGGGAGCCAGACTTTAGCAAAAGACTTGGGAAGTGTTTATAAGAATAGCAGCATCAAATATAAGAAATAGGAGTTAATGAAACAAAAATGCCACTTGCAATAATAAAATACATGTTGACCTTAACCAAGCACATGCTACTATACTTTCCACATTCATCCAAGCCTTTATTTTTTTTTTAATTCACAAGCTTTTATAGTATGTTTTATTTTGTTGAATAAAAACATTCAGTATTCCGTTTTAAGTCTTTACCTTTAAAGCCCATTACTGCATTCAAACCAAACCATCTTCCCTTGTATGTTCAGTATTTCTTGGTACTGTCTTTACTAACTTGCCACGTGATGAGGGCTTCCGGCTATACATTATTCTTTTTCCTAAACCACCTTTGCACACATTATTGGCAATTAGTATCAAAAAGCTAAGACTGAGATATAAAGGATAGTAATATATGCTCTTTGATTCTAAGCTATCCTGATATCTTCCCCTTTGCTATTTTTTTTTCTTTCTATTGCACTTCCTATACAGTACTGCCAGCTTTTTGCTTAAATGGAGGAAAAAAGTGATAGTTTGCCCAGCTATTCCTCTTCTGACCTCATAGCTGTGCCACTGCACAAACTACTATAGGGTAAGTGAAAGAAACTGTAGCAAGGAGGAAATGGATATTGAAGGGAAGTTGTTATTGTTTAGTCGCTAAGCCATATCTGACTCTCTTGCCACCGCATGGACTGTAGCCCATCAGGCTTCTCTGTTTATGGGTTTTCCCAGGCAAGAATACTGGAGTGGGTTGCCATGCCCTCCTCCAGGGGCTCTTCCCTACCCAGGGGTCAAACTCACATCTTCTACATTGGCAGGTGGATTCTTTACCACTGAGCCACCAGGGAAGGCCACGAAGGGAAGTTAAACAGTTCTAATTCTCTCATCACCACCTCTTCCAGCTGTGTAGCGAAGTAGAAATTCCATTTGCTGTTCTGCCAATTATTTTAATGTGCTCTATTTTCTAGATGCCCACGAGATCTGTTCCAGCCTCTGATGGTGTACCAGGGCAAGAGCTGCACAGTACAATTTACGAAGTTATTCAGCACATCCCTGCCCAACAGCAAGATCATCCAGAGTAAGTATGGACTTGAGTTTGATGATACTATGTTGAGAGGGCTCAGCATTCAGCCCCTGCTGTCCCCAGACTTTATTGAAAGGTTCAGAAGAAAAAAATACATTAAAAACAGAAAATTATAGCTCCCCTACATGTGAACACACTTTACCACCTGAAAACAGCTGTAAGAAATAAAACAGGCAAACGTACAAGTATCTTCTGGGGCCAAGTACTTGGGCCAGTGGACCAGACGCAGAGCTCTAGAATCTAGCGTTTCCCCCAATGAATCCACTTCTGGAGAAGAAGGGGGTCGTTAGGCCAGTTCTCAAGCCATCTTGGTTCTCTTGCTGATTTTCCAGTGGCTGTAGGGTTTTTGGAAAAGGAAATGGCAACCCACTCCAGTATTCTTGCCTGGATAATTCCATGGATGGAGGAGAATAGCAGGCTACAGTCCATGGGGCCACAAAGAGTCAGACGTGACTTTGGCAGCTAAGCACACATGTAGTGGTTTTAGGCTCAGTGATCTATCACCATGGATGGGTGTGTTCATGTTCAGTCACGCAGTCGTGTCTGATTCTGCAACTCCGTGGACTGTAGCCCACCAGGTTCCTCTGTCCATGGAATTTTCCAGGCAAGAATACTGGAGTGGGGTGCTATTTCATCCTCCAGGGGATCTTCCTGAGCCAGGGATCAAACCCGTGTCTCCTGCGTCTCCTGCATTGGCAGGCAGATCACTACAAATAGGACCAGGAAAAAAAAAACCGTGCAAAACGTGCCCAACACTGTCCCCATCAAATGCCCACGTCTCACAGACTTAAAGCAGTCTACTCTCAAGTGAATAGAACCACCATGGTAAGGGCTGGGCTCACTCCAAGAAAAGCCGGGAAACTGCTCATCCAGTTAACCTGGGGGCTGACACCAGGCAGTCGCCTTCCCTTCCCATAGGTGGAAAAACTACGCCAACAGCCTTTTGGAATAAAGAAATGAACTTCCCTTTTTTGTGGGCTGTAACTGCCTGCAGGCATAACTGCCACGAATCATCTTCCATCATTTCTCTATTTGTCATTTATTGACTTTGAAAAGAACATCAATAACCATACATGGGAACTTCCCCTTTGGCAAAAGAAAACAGTTCTAGCAGAGTAATTCATGCACACCTCTGGATGAATACCAAAAATAACAGCTAGCAGTGGATGAATGCCTGGGAAATGGTCTTCCAGGGAGGAGACCCAGCCTTGGGGGCCTGTGCATTCATTTAAGGGCTGAATAAGTGACAGGAGCACCTCAGAGGACCCCATCAGTGCAGTCCTTCTTGTCTCAAGGAACCTGGAGAAAAGGGAGTCAGGTGATTCGGAACAGACTCTGACAGAGCTGGGAGCTTCCGGTTTGAAAAGAAAAGAAAATTGCTTTGTAGCATTATGATATTAATCTAATAGGACACCATAGTGGAATGTTATTCCAGGACAGTTAAACAAAACCTCTCTAAAATGATACCCAACCCTCTTTACTGTCTGGAATAGAAAATGAAGGGGTATTTTTCTTTGTTAAAAATAAGGAATATATAGAATTTTGAGAGTATGTCTGCTTCTTAATTTTAAGATTTTATCTGCTTCCTAATTTTAAGATTGTTTCCAAGCAAAAATTTTGCCCTATTTAAATTCATTTGTTTTTCTATATGTCCTTTATTCTATATTTTTCCAGTTAGCCTGCAAACAAACCAAAGGAAGACTTGAGGTTTATCTTTTAAGTCTCCAAATAATGAAATAAATATTGATTTTCAACTGTGGAGTATGGCAGCTATAATTTCAGAACACCAAATAAAATGATTTGGTGAAAAAAATGATTCCTCAAATTAAAAAAAGAAATCATCCTCAGAAATTAGACTGCTTTCAGACATGAACAATATCACTAAAATTTCTTGAGAGTATAAAATTTTATTTCAGAAATAAACTTTGAAGGTTGAAAATACAGCAGAAAAGCTCTTTTTC